GCCCCCGCCGCCTCCGTACCCAGGAGCCGCCCGGGGTGCGCGCAGGGCGTGCGGGCGAGTGTCCGTTTAACGCGTGCCGAGGAGTAGCCGCGTGGTCACTGCTCCAAAGAGATGCCTCCTGGAAAGAGCCTTTGATGCTGTTTCTCGGACTGTTACGCACTACGGAGCGCAGGAAGGAGTGGGAAAGCTGCCCTTTCTGTAGAGTGAGCGTATCTGTGAGACTGCTCACCTGTTTTTCCTTTATCTCCAGGTATGGTCCAAAAATGCCCCTTGCGGTGGATTGCACTGCGGAACTGATTCGCTGCAAGGTTCTGGATGTATCTGGCAGGTTGAAGTCACATGAGCTCATACTCTCTTATGGACTGGCCCTTGTCAGGTAAGGGCTCTCCAGGGCTGTGTGCTGTGAGAGAGAAACACCCGGGCAGATGTCGTCCTTCAGCTGTCGAATTTCACTTTGCATCTCTGGGACCACAGTGTTGTACTACCTGTGTGGAGTTTGTCTCTGGGGTTCCAAGTTTCTCTGCAGCTCTTGATAGTTCTTTATCTTTTCTCCAATCTGCATGCAGGTTTGTCAATTTGATCACAGAAAGGAAACAGAAGATGGTCAGCATTCCTCTGAGACAGTTAGCTAGAGAGGTAAGTATTTGATAAGACTTGCTTGATAAATGATGTCTATGCAGAAGGCTTATGCATTGTCTGTTGACAGCATTGTGTGGAGTGAGTTGTGGGGGATCAATTCTTTTGTAACCAGAATAATGGAGATAGATACTAGTTCTTTCTAGCAAAGTTTTAATGAGACTTGATGCAACTGATCCAAAACTTTGTTCTTTAAAGTCAGATTAAGAGTCACAGAAGCTGATGGTCATTAAAACCTTTTTGAATCATGTGTGGCCAAAAGTCTTGATTTACATGTGTATGGTCGCACTTGACATACTGTCCCATGGTTTTCTTTCTCAGCTACTGAGATACGGAAAAAGGTAAATCTAAGGTTCATGAATTCTAGTCTTTGACAAGCAAAGTTGTACATAAAAGGCACTTAATCGAGCTTGCAGGCATTTTCATCTTGTGTCAGGTGAGCTTGTCCACTTCTGTGTGGAAGAGGGAAGGTTCAAGCTGTAGTTGTAGTAGCAGAACCAGCTTGAGTCTTTTAATTGCCAGCTGCACTGAGCATCATATCTGGGATTCAACAGCAAGTTCTGATAGTGAAGGACAGGCAGTACCTGAGACTCCTGTATATGCAGCCTTGTCTGGGACCTGTCTGAGAATGTTGAATTGATCTTTATTTTTTCCCTGGGGTTTTAAGAAAGGTTCTGCTTCTCACCTGTCAAAACTGATCAGGCTTAAAAAGAGAGGTCTTGCATAGTTCTTGTTAGTTGTCCTTAGGAAAGCTGCAAAAAGTTGTGTGCAATTTAGTGTGTAGGTTTGAGTATTACTATGTGACTTGTATACACATTCAGAATGTCTCGTCAGTGTAGATATAGTGCCACTGCTTCTCAGTATCTCAGTAAATTGCATGCAGCTCCTCTGTCTAAAAAGAAATCTGTTGTTGCAAGTAACACTGAAGAGCTTAAATTGTAACATCCCAAGTTTGTAGGATCCTAGGCCACAGGAGGAGCGGGATCAGAGAGGTGGGAATCTGGGGGACTGTAGTGCAGGAGGAGCCAGGCAGAGGCTGTTCCCACGGAAGCAGAGGCTCTGCAGCTTCACGGGGCTGCCTGCAGCTGTCGAGCTGCAGCGAGGCCGGTGTGGTAAGGTCGTTGGCTGTTCCTCTAGGTGGATATCCCCATCTGGGTGGTGGACCTGCGTCACGAGCTGACCCACGGGAAGCTGCCGCGGCTGGCGCTGTGCCGCAGGGGTGAGTGCTGCCCGCCCGTGCTGGGCGCTGCAGGGCGCGCAGCTGAGCTGTGTCTGCTGCCTCATGGGGCAGGTGTTCAGAGGCTTCCTCCTTCCCTTGAAAAATACTGGGAACTGCAGGTTGGTGCTCTTGCTTTTTTACAGCACAGGAAGTTCATTTTGGGGAAATAGGTAAAGGCTTTTCTGGATGGTTCAGAGACACCCAAGACTCTTACAAAGACCCATGTAGAGAGAAATGCAGCAGGCACTGCAAGCCTGAGTGAATGACCAGCTCATGGCATTTGAAGGGATTCCTGGGAATTCCTGCGTTAAGCACTGAAGAGCAAGTCAACCTTCAGCAGGGTCCCTACACTGAACTGGGTAGGGAAATAATGATGGAAGTAAAGGCATTTTTCTTCCATTCTATCTAATGTATGCCCAGTGTAGTCTCTGCAAAAAAAATTTGTTACTGTTATAGATACTGTGTCGATCATGCTGATGTTAAAGTATTGACTTGTTTTCTCATCACAGCACCATTGCTGGGACTTAATTTCTGCTTACATTTGGCCTAGCTTGAGCAAGGTGCAGTGCTAGAGCAGTGTCCAGACTTTTTTGTTGCCCAAAAAGACAGTGGGTGGGTGTTACCAGGCCTGTGATAGTGGATTGTGGGAGTTTTTCTTAGGGGGTTTTTGGTTGGGTTTTTTTGGGGGGGGGAAGTTTTTCTTTTTTATTTTTGTTTTGTTTTTCAAGAAACTCATTCACTTTTTCTTTAATGGAGTTTTATGTGATTTTTGGGTTCATAAGCGCTTAACAGCATTTCTTGTCATTATGCCAATTAGTGATATATCATAGTATGTTAAGGGTTTGGAATGGACCTCAGAGATCACCCAGCCCCAATCCCTGCCCTGGGCAGGGACACCTCCCACCAGAGCAGGTTGCTCAAGGCTCAGCCAACCTGGCTGTGAACACTGTCAGGGTTGGGGCAGCCACAGCCTCCCTGGGCAGCCTGGGCCAGTGTCTCACCACCCTCACAGGGAAAACTTCTGCCTGAGATCTAACCTCAATTTCCCTTCGTCAATTTGTCCACATTGCCCCTTGTCCTGTCCCTGCAGCTCCTAACACAGAATCCTCTGCAGCTTCCCTGGAGCCCCTTCAGCTCCTGGAAGGTGCCCTGAGGTCTCCACACAACCTTCTCTTCTCCAGGCTGAACAGCCCCAACTCCCTCAGCCTGTCCTCACAGGGAGATGCTCCAGTGCTCTTAGCAACTTTGTGGCCTCCTCTGGGCTTGCTCCGACACTTCCATGTCCATCTGATGTTGGGGAAACCACAACTGTACACAGTACTCCAGGTGGGGCCTGACAGGAGCAGAGCAGAGGGGGAGAATCTCCTCCCTCACCTGCTGCCACACTCCTGTGGCTGCAGCCCAGGCCTGGGTTAGTTTCTGGGCTGTCAGCAGCCTCTTCAGCCTCTCAGGGTCCCTGTGAACCACCTGTCCCTTCCCTCCAGCGTGACTGCATCAGTCGTGTGGCACTATGTGCTACCTCTTATACTTGTTTTCAGTAACAAAGACATCCTCACTGAGCAGGTATTGTTTTCTGTTCTTCCCTAGGCTGTGATGTTGTGCTGGACTGGCTGCGAAAGACGTACTGGAGCCGTCAGCTGGGCAATAACTTATGTGAAGAAAGTGAGGATGAGGAAGAGGAGCAGGAAGACGTGGAAGCAAATGCAGAGTTGGAAAGTGATGCATGGGAAATTCAAACCCCACAGCATGAGGCCTGTCAGAAACATAAGGAATTCCATGGTAGGTATCCCTAAAACAATGGCAGATAAAAGGATTAAATGTGCTAGAGAGAGCAGTTATCACCTAGCATAAAGATACACCTTCAGCTCTGGTTTTGGGATTCTTCTTTGGGTCTTGGGGAATTCCTGGAGTGACTGACTGGCTTGGTGTTAACTCACTGAGTTTGTAGCATAAAATCCTTTACTTTCATTGAACGTGCAGTATCCTAAACATCAGTAGCTGCTATCTTGGGATGGTCTAGACCAAGCATTGTCAGAGTTAGTTGTAGTGGTCTTCACAGACGCAGTTGGTCTTGAGACCACTTCTGACAATGAATGCTTATGGCTCTCTAAACACTATAGAAATGAATGCTTATGGCTCTCTAAACACTGGAGTTCTAACTGGAGTGTTAGGGTTTTGTAGGAGCTCCTCTGCACAGGGTCGTGTGTTCGAGTCCCACTTTGGGCCTAGTATCTGTCTCGGTTGGCTGAGGTCTTTTGTAAAAGAAAAAGGTGTCCCGCCCCAGTGGCTGAGGTCCTTTGTCTCTCTTAAGTATCCGACTATCTGATAACACGTATGGGGGAAAATTCCTTAAAGCAACGGAGGAGCTCCTACAAAACCCTAACATGGAGCAAGAGCAAAGTAGCAGCAGTTCAGCCAGTTTCAAAATACTTCTCATGTGGACAGAAAAATCACTAGCAGTAATTAAAAAGAATTACAGGTAGCTCAACCTGGAGATAATCTGAGATCCAAAGTGCAGAACAGTGGGAAATCTTTGGCAAACTGTTTCAGTTGTTCCTTTTCATCACCAGAGGTATTTGAACCCAAAGTAAAGGATTTTTCTCAAAGTGAATTACTTTGAGTGACTAAGTGGAGGAAGTGAGTGTTAGGTTAGATGTTTGGCCTGCAAATTTGAGGTATGTACCTCAAAGAGTCAACAAAGTGGTTGTAGTTTTTCCTGATTGATAAATTGTTAGAACATGGCATGCTTGTGGGGAATGACTTGTCCAGCTCAATCCAAGGCCCAGAGAGTATGCAGAGATTCTGAAGTGACCCTTAATGCTCCCTAGAAGGTCACACTAGGTGACTGTAATGATTTTTCAGGCTTTAGGATCTATGGATTTGTTTCCAGTCTGTTCTAGATTGCTTTGTAACAGTCGTACATACAGTAGCTGTGATCCAGAAATTGTTAGGTAATTTGCTGTGCACTTTAACACAGTGTTTATTAGAACAGTCCAGTCCTAGAAGCAGTACTAAACTTTGAACACAGTAGCTCTTAGCTCTTTGGCAGTGTCTGTCTGCTGTCCTGTCTTCCTTCATGTTGAATGAGATCCAAGCATGTGCTATTCCTTCCTCTCCCTGGCTACCCTAAAGAAAAAGGACACCCCAGCCCCAGTTGCCAAAAGAGAGAACCACAGAGTTAGATAGCAGATTCTGTGATTTTTGTGTGCAGAGTAATGGAATGGGTTTGCATGTGCAATTTTATCTGGCTGGTACTGTGTGGTGGACATCCTCAGAGCAGGTGACAATGATACCTGAATGGAGGGTGTTTCAGGTGGAGTAAAAGTGTTCCACACATAAAAGACATTCCATGGAAATGGTAAACGAGTGTTTAATAAAGCCCAGCAGGATGTGGTTAGTTTGTGAATAGCTCTAGTGCTGTTGCGATAGATGTAAAATGCAAGTATAAAGAACAGAACTATACATCAGAACATGAGCTGCATATGGGAACAATTTCTTCCCCAACAGATCTACTCGGATTTTTTTGAGCAGTTTGGATTTATCCAATTTGCCTGTGTTTGACCACCTTTAGTGATGAAATATGGAATTGATGGTTCAAGACCACTTGATAGAATTTATGTTCCTAGAAAAAACTAGGAGTTTCAGAAGTCTTTAGAGTGTTGTGTGAATAAAAATTTGTGACTTCATTTGACTGTTTTCTTCCTTGAGTGTATATTCAGCAGAACTAAGCGGCTTGCCTAGGTACAAAATCCTCTTACGTGGTTGATCCATCCCCTATTTAAACCATATATCTATATTTATTTCCAGAAAAAGTCAGAGATGTGCTGATATCTTACAAGAACGAGCAGTTTCGGGTAAGTGCACTTTTGTTTCTCCTTTCCTGCCTGAGTCAGTAAGCGTTCTCTCTGCTGTTGCCTTGGGTAGTTCCTTGTTCAGATATCGCTGCTGGTGTGGTCATGCGTGGCTTACCAGAGGAAAGCTCTGCTGTGGAGAGCAGGCGGTTTGGGCTGTGATGGTTTCTAGTGTGAACACTTTGTTCAGGTTTATAAAGGAGATATGTTCTTACTGGAAATCCCAAGCCTTCCCTCTCCCAGTGAATAGTGCTTAGTCTGTTTCCCTTCATGCTAGCATCTCTGGAAGTCGAGCCCTGTCATTCAGAAGTCATTAGCCCATGTTTTCTATCCCCCATAGTATATTTTTGCAGTGGCCTAGTGGTTGAAGTGCTGCAGTTCATATTTGTGAATCATTGGCCCCAGAAATAATCTCTCTCTGCAGCTTCTCCTTAGTAACTGGGTTGGTTCTCAAGATGTGGGGAGAGCTGGGTTACAGACCCTGCCAGTGGTTCTTGGGTATGGCTTCACTAGCATACTGTTGTTACTAGGGAGCTGCTCTCACTTATTTATTGATTCATATCATTAGGGGCTTAAGGGAAAGTGGTGCTAACATTGCAGTGATTCATAGAATGTAAGGGTTGGAATGGACCTTACAGATCATTTAGTCCCAACCCTCAGTGGGGGGATTTAAGTCTGAAGTGCAGACTTAAATCTGAACTGAACTTTACTGAAAATGAGCATTGGGTTTCCATCATTGTCTTGGTTTTGGAGTAGATAACATGATTCTCCTTTGTTCATCCTTCCCTTTCTGTATTTGGTACTGGAATATTTTGTGGGTGCTACATTGCATTGTAAAGGAGACAAATCAACTGTGCATGGTGAGTGACCTAGCGTATTAGCAGAAGAGGGAAGTATTTCAAATTGCATAGGAAAATGCAACTTCAGAGTTTAAACTGGTCACGGCTGAGTGGGGGAAAGGAGCACTTGGTCCAAAGAGTAATGTCAAAACTGTTGTTTCACAGCTCATGTGAAATTCCTTACCCCACTGACGTAGTGTAAACACAGTTCACAGTTTTTACCTCAGTTTAACTGAATGCTGCATACAGTGCTTCTGAAATTCCTCTGCTCAGCCTCTAAGCCTCTTTTGGTGAATGCACTTCTGAGTCTCAGTGTGTGAGAAAACAACTCTCGCTAGATATGTGTGTTGTCAACAAAGCTTCCTGTAACACATCGTTTTTGCCACTCTGAGGCATCCTAAGAGTGGGCAAAGGGTTTGCCTAGATCAGTCTGCATCAAGCGGTGTTAACCCTTACAGCTGATACCTGCGTGTTCTTAACTGAAATTTATCTTTCATGAAAAAATAGTAACACTTTTATGCATTAATAACTGTTGGCAGTAATTTTAAGACACGTAAGCTGGTCCTCTGTTGGCCTCTGAAACTTGCTGCACCACAGTACACCTCTAATTTAAAACTGATTGCAGCTGGTAAAATCTCTGAAACTTAGAAATGGAGCAACAAAGTGACATGGGCTTGTTCTTTTGGTCTATAGGAGCAGGTGATTTGGTGCATCCAGATAATTTCTTAACCATGAGAGCAACATAGTGTTCAAATATCGAAGAAAGACTACTTGAAGCTTTTTTAGGCTGATGTTTGAACATTTTCTGTGTGTTTGCAGAGTAGGAGTGGCACCGAATCTTTGCCAGTCTCCCTGCATAAATGTAGTGTGTGTCTCTGATCCTTTTCATGTGTGATGGAGAATCACTTGTACCTGAGTCATTGTTAGAGCAATGTGACTGTAGTGTCTCTGATCCAGATACTTCTGTAGCTATTTTATTAGCTACTTTCTACACTTCAAAAATTTATATAGATCTGTAAGGTCTAAACTAGGCCAAAATACAGCTCTGCTACGAGAACTGTGTACCTTGTTGTCTGATTGTTCATATAGGTGGGCTAGAAGTTCCTTAACCGCTTCTGGTCATGTCTTTATACTTGGTTTGTCATCTAAAGTGTCTTTTGCCTTTAGTGGTAACTTTACATACATAGGGTGAGAGAGCTAATCACAGTGCTGAAAATGACACATTGGTTTTTCACTCTCATTTTACATTACATTTCTGCTTGGCAGAAAAAATAATTTCTTTTTTCTCTTAGTAGTTACTGCCTTCCAAATGAAAAGCAGCTAGATACCTGCTGGGGGTGTAACTGGGTTCATGCCAATGTTTTAGAAGTTGGTGATGGTGGAATTGCCACTTGGGTAGCTTGTGAGCAGAAGCAGGAGGCATGTCTCACCTTGCTGAGCAGACTCAGGTAAGGTGTGAATCAAGTGAAGACATCACTAACTTTCAGAGGTGTACCGACCTTAAGTATTTCCTCTTCCCTTCTTGGTACAGCCTGGGTTTTATTTTCATATACTGTGTGCATAATGTGACTGGCAAAACCTTGTCCTGAGTAGTCAACCTCATCCCCCACCACTGCAGAGTGACGATTCAAAATGTGTCTGTCCTGGTTTGTGCTGAAGTCAGGGAGAACAGCGTTTAGGGGCAGAATGAGGATGGCAGGGCTGTGACTCCTTGGTGCTCCTGGTGTTTTAGTTCAGTCCTTTTCCAGGTATGGCATGGCTTACATTAATTCATAATACGACTGTATGAAGGGGAACTTCTGAGAGTTTTTTAGGGGCTGTTGGTGAAGTACGTGTGGCACATGCATCTTCTTTTCATGGCAATCTCTTTGTGTTTGCTACTGGAGAACACTTTCTGTTTATGCTTGGGTTTTCCCTTCCCTCAGGTTATGCAGACTGTGCAGTCTGTTCCCAAGTCTCGAGAGCTGTGGTCCGATTCATCTTCAGAAGTGGACTGGATTTTGGCTCAGATCAAAGACCTGATGCAGGAGAACAGGTACCTCTCTGATAAGGAACTGAGGCTTACTCCCTCAGTCCCTAAGCTGTCCCAATTCCTTGTGCTTCTCCAGTGGTCTCTGTGGGAATCTAGTTTTCTGAAGAACTGACATTAGTACTTTCCTTCTCAGCTGAGGACAGGGTTGTTCTGCAGTGTCCTGTGCATTTAAGAATTCAGGTTCTTGCTTTCATTTAAGAGAAAATTTTGCTTGTTTGCTCACAGAAAATAGACCATAATGGGAAGGAGAGAGAAGGCTGGGGTGGAATGCACTGCCATGTTGTGACTTCATTAGGTGTGGAAACTTGCATTATGGACTTGGGGACAGCAGAATTTACACATTCTCTTGAGTATGTCAAGTGACCTATGAAAGTGCTTTTTAAATGTAGAATTGAGTAAAGCCTTTCGTTCCCCTACTGATGTACCCTGTCATTTGGATTGTGCAGGAGGCAAAAGGTCCTTTTAGACCTGAAGGAAAATGAGCTAACTGCAAAGAATGTTCTGCTGTCTGCTTCAGAGAGCTGGCCAAAGGTACCTTGTGTAGTCAGGTGATCTTCCTACATGGTTCACTATGGAAGTTGCCATCTGCACGCAAGTGTCCTTCATAGTGATGATAGGTCATGCATGTAGGAGTAACACTAATCATTCTGGAACAATTTCCAGAGAGGAGAAGGATTGGGACTGGATTTTGGTTTTAGAAACCAGTTACATTCTGTCACTTGCCTTCTGATCTCTCACCACATCACCTGCTTATGACAAAGTGATCTAGGGCGTGTGGGGGTTGTTTCTATGCTCTGAGCTTTTCAGCTGCTGTATGTGTTCATGAAAATCCTGTGTTGGATCTAAGTCCTGTCTGGGTATTAGGATTGGGAAGTCACTCCTATTGGAGAAGACACACTTTCTCTGTCAGAATATGCCATGTTTGACATGGGTGCTACCATTCCAAATCTTTGCACAGATAGAGAAGCTCACAGCCAGAAGCATGAACAGAATAACTCAAGAGAAAAATGGGACTGGATATTGGGGTAGTTGTGGAAATTTTACCCATCTCTTTTGCTGTATTTTCATAGAATTATAACAATCATAGAGTGTTAAGGAGTTGGAATGGACCTTATGGATCATGTGGTCCTAATCCCTGCCCTGGGCAGGGACATCTCCCACCAGAGCAGGTTGCTCAAGGCTTTATCCAACCTGGCTTTGAACACATTTTGTTTTCAATTGTCAGTGTAGCCTACCTGTGTGGGTTCTCTCAGTCATTCACTTTGAGGCTCAACAACGCTCAGTGCTGGTCCTGCCCTTGGCAC